TCCAAATGTCCGTGCGTTCAATTTATGGCGATTTGGACATGGGCGGGACATTAGTCTTCGGCCAATTGACTCTGGGGGAGGTGGTCCTGACCTGCCCACAAGAGGTACTGTGTATGGACCTGCCCAAGTTCAATTGAGCCGAGACTGGCCTGAACACCAAGTCGGGGATTGGATTTCTGACACCAGCGCATCAGCCCGATCGCAACAGTACCAAACACCATCCGACTGTCGCGCCCCGCGTCATCTAATCATTCCATGCATTTTCCTGGCTTTCTCCCCAAGCCACAAATATGATTTTCATATGCAAATGTAGCGTACAGAATGGCCTGCACAAAGGAAGCTTGTTCATATCTCTGCAACTAATATTTTGGCTTTTATAAGAGATTAAACATACTTCTTTGATGTGAATATTACTTATAGAGCTTTCCACAAAAGGCAGACAGTCTGTCTGCTGTCACTGGTTTTCCTCAGAAGGTGATAACCTGATTGACACACAAAAGTTGTCACCTCCAGGAACCTGGCTTTAGACTAATTGATGCTAAATGATGATTGGGTCTGTAAGGCCTATGGAGTAATTGTGTATACATAAACATCTGTATCCCAGATCATTTGTTTTGTACCTTCTATTCATTTCCCTATGGCCCAGGGGCTCAATGTACATCCTTAATTAGCAGACTGTTCCTGCACACACCTTTGCAATGAAAGGGCCTGACATAATCTAATCTACTCAACCTGTCATGGCTATGATACCATATTTCCACTCAAATCTTACATGCCCGTTACAATAAATTTTACATGTCTGTTACATCTCCCCTCTTCCAGATGACGCATAGCTGAGCCTAAACGGGTTAGCTAACGCGTCTACATAGAAGGTTCGCAAGGTTGGGAGGGGGTAAGTTCTCCCAACTAAAGTTTGACACCGCTGACAGCTCAGCCCATCCCCCTGCTGATGGGGAAGGGCTTCTGCCCAGCTCTCTGACTGATCCCAAAGGCTTTGGGTCACCACTGGCCAGCAGATCCCCTCGCGGATCCATTTCATCTGCTGGCCACCGACTATCAACTGGACGGGTACTGGCGAACCTGTCATTGTGCGCTGTCAACATTTTCAGCCACTGGCCAGGGTCATCTGGTGGTTCGCCATTGGCTGCGACACCCAGATGCCTGAGCCTGACATAAGGTTGTTTCTGGGTGATCTGGACCTAGTTTCATGGCTTGGATACCAGAACCTCCACCCTTGGACCTGTCTCCCCACACTTCTGCTCTTTCTGCCTCAGCCAGAGACTGGTCAGCACAACCCCTGACTTCCTCCGGGCTGACATCAAACCTATCAGCCAGCAAAAATACAGTGTTGTCAGCTTCAGCCTCTGAGAGAGCAGATTCAGAGGGGGTTAGTGTTCCCCCGTCATCCTGTGATCCTTCCCTTGCTGTGCACAGCAATAAGTCTTCAATCATGATACTCATAGCTGTGGGGACAAAGGATAAATCCACAGACTTTACTCCACCAGGGGTCATCCTCTGACCCGTGCCACACCCTTCTACTCTGTCCTCCTCAGCAGAACATCTGTCAGCACCACCCCTGAGCTCCTCCGGGCCATCCTCAAACCTATCATCCTGGACGGACTCAGTGATGTCAGCTGCAACTGCTGAGGTGGGAGACTCTGATTGGGTTGAATTTGCCCCAACATCCTGCAGACTTCCCTCTGCAACACACAGAAATGAGTCTGCACTGGCAGCACCCGCGACTGTGGTGACAGAGGGGAAAGTTACAGGAGGAAAAAATTCCACTAGGGGTTATCCTCTGACCCACGTCACTCACTTCTACCCCGTCCTCAGCAGAGCATCTGTGAGCACCCATGAGTTCCTCTGGGCTGGCATCAGATGTAACAGCCTCTGGAAACTCGGTGCCGTCAGCCACAGCTACTGAGGGGGTAGAGTCAGAAATGAATCAGACTTAAACCCTCACCCTGTGGTCCCTCCTCTGTGCTCCACAGTCCAGGATCCAAAATGGCATTACTGGTATCTGTGGTGTCAGGGGAGCAGACAACAGAGAACTTCATCCCACAAGGGGCGAGGGGCACACAACACTGGTCTACTGAAACCCAATGTGCTTTTTTCCCGGGGACTTCAAAAGAACATCCTGTTGCTTTACATAGGGGTAGAAAAACAAATTCCTTTTGCCCATGCACCCCCATCCTGCTATCCACCGCTGGCGGTCCTTCAGCCACACCCCTGAGATCCTCTGGGCTGCCGTCAATTCTCACAGCTCCAGGGGACTCAGAGCTATCTGCCACAGGTGCCAGGTAGACAACAGTCTGAGGAGACCTTAGGCCCTCTGGGCCAGGCTCACAAGGGTCCAACCCAGCTAGATTGGGCCCTTCCACAGGCAGTTCCTCTGTAGCAGTGGGCAATGACTGGTCCGGGGCCACCTGGCGGGCACCCCGAGTCACTGCTGCAGCAGAGGGAAGGTCTGCCTTACACATGTCATTACATTTATCATCACATAAAACACTATCAGTTGCAGAGTCCTCTGCGATTTTAAACTCTTCTCCAGGCCTTGACCCCAGACATCCACTAGAGCCAGGCTCTGGTACACAGTCCTTCACACCCTGACCCTCCCCAGAATTCTCAGTGTGCATTGAGTCACTCAACAGTACATTACGTGAATCCGAGGCCTCGGGTGTAAATGTAGACTTCAGGGGGTTGACTTAGACTTGTTCTGGGTTACCAACCGCCGCCCCAGGTCAGTACCCGACAGTATGTTCGTGGTAGCTGCTACGCCCACTTCTCTCACTTTGCTTCTGGATCCTTGGGGCAAAGCAACACAAGCTGCAGGTAGTACAGGGGTGACTCCTCCAACCCCTATGATAACTGTAGCTTTCTTTGGGACCACATCCTCACGACTCTTCCATCCGGGAAGGGCTAGGATATCCTCGGGTCCCTTATCTCGGAGTCCAGCTGAAACATTGTTGCCTGCAGTGACTGGCTGCAGGCTCTCCACATGGCCTCCTTCATTAGTGGGATCTGCCCACTTCTTCCACTTGACTTCCAGACTCCTGGCTCAAAGAAATACAAGCCATAGGCACTGCAGGGATGGCTCCTCCAACCCCTGTGCCAGCCATGCTTCCACTGGGATCACAACTGTCAAGGATTCGGTAAACGATCACCCTGTCACGTGTCCACCACACGCCACGCCCACAGCGACTAGCTAACCGTGACGCGTGCGTGCGGCCGCGACAGGGTGGTAAAGAGGGGATAATAAAGGGGATTTACTCTTAAATATCTCAAACCGTATATAAGATCAGCCGTGATACCTTTTCACAGCCCGCACTACCTCTGGCCACCACCAGATGGAGACTCCACTCCAATCCAGCTGGTCGACCACACACTGGCAGATACGATCTTACATACAACTTGGTGCCCTGATTAGAGTTGAGGACCAGCTTAGTAATCACACACACCCTTCTAAAGGTCCCTTCAGCTATCCTAGCTTGAACCACAGTGTTGATACCCTTCCACTGTCCACACACCCCCACACCAGACGCACCACAAAGGTAGCCTGCCACCACCCAACAGTTTATCCGCAGAATGGTCTGTTGAGACACCACACACACACAGATCTCCGCCTGGCAGATCTGTTACCTTTGCAATCTGCGTGCAATCTGCCCACTCACAGTGCAGATGCATACAGATTGGCAATGAGCTTAACCGAGCGTTTTAAAGGCACTAAAATACAATACAATATAACCCAATCTAATCTCTCCGATCTAGTCTCTCTCTGATCTAATCTCTCCGAAGATATGAGCACGCGCTTAAATACACAGAAGTTCACTAATTAATTTTAAGATTTAATTTCCCAAAGTGGGCAGTGCATAAAATATGTACAAAATATAAAAAAGTTACAGAAATACAAAAGATATAAGAAGACACACAAATGACTAATTACTATAAAATAAAAGGGAATAAAAAGACAGAATAACACTTTACCCTGCGGCTGGAGCAAGCCAGAAACTTGGCAATCCGCTAGTCAATCGAACCAGCTCCGTACGAATCACGCTGTCCAAATGTCCATGCGTTCAATTTATTGCGATTTGGACATGGGCGGGATATTAGTCTTCGGCCAATTGACTATGGGGGAGGTGGTCCTGACCTGCCCACAAGAGGTACTGTGTATGGACCTGCCCAAGTTCAATTGGGCAAAGACTGGCCTGAACACCAAGTTGGGGATTGGATTTCTGACACCAGCGTGTCAGCCCGATCGCAACAGTACCAAACACCATCTGACTGTTGCACCCCCGCGTCATCTAAACCATTCCATGCATTTCCCTGGCTTCCTCCCCAAGCCACAAATATGATTCTTATATGTAAATGTAGCGCACAGAATGGCCTGCACAAAGGAAGCTTGTTCATATCTCTCCAACTAATATTTTGGCTTTTATAAGAGATTAAACATACTTCTTTGATGTGAATATTACCTATAGAGCTTTCTACAAAAGGCAGACAGTCTGTCCGCTGTCACTGGCTTTCCCAGAAGGTGATAACCTGATTGACACACAAAAATTGTCACCTCCAGGAACCTGGCTTTAGACTAATTAATGCTAAATGATGATTGGGTCTGTAAGTCCTATTGAGGAATTGTGTATACATACACATCTGATCCCAGACCATTTGTTTGTACCTTCACCTTGTACCTCGACAGCGGGCACCGAGTCATCTGGCAGAACAGCGGGCACAGAGTCACCAAGCTCGACAGCGGGCTCCGAGTCACCTGGCACGACAGCGGGCTCCGAGTCACCTGGCACGACAGCGGGCTCCGAGTCACCTGGCACGACAGCGGGCTCCGAGTCACCTGGCACGACAGCGGGCTCCGAGTCACCTGGCACGACAGCGGGCTCCGAGTCACCTGGCACGACAGCGGGCACTGAGGTACCGAGTCATCAGGCCGGACCGGGTCGTCAAGCCGGACCGGGTCGTCAGGCCGGATCACGAACACCAGGTCATCAGGCTGGATCGGGTCATCAGGCTGGATCGGGTCATCAGGCTGGATCGCGTATACCAGATCAAACTGGATCGGGTCATCAGGCCGGATCGGGTCGTCAGGCTGGGTAGCGGGCATTAGATCGTCAGGCTGGGTAGGAACATCAGCCCGGGTAGCGTACACTGGGTCATTGGGCATCAGGCTGAATTGCGGGCGCCGGGGCACCAGGCTGAACCATAGAAGGCAGGTTCTCAGACGGCAGGCTGACCGGTTTGGATACTGGCAGGATGGTACTGGTTGGAAAGAATTTTCGCCTTTTCCTGGTTTTAGTTACTGGAGCACTGTAAGTAAGCGCAGGTTTGTAAACGGATAGAGCAGCTGTACGCAGAGAAGAGCTGGGGGATGGAACAAAGGAGGGAGCAGTTGCTACAGAGGGCTTCTTTACAGGGTAAAAGGCAGGATAGGTGCAGCGAGTGGGAGCAGGGGACTGACATGTGGTAGCTAGCAGGGTATACTAGGCTGTCATTGGGGGTGCTGTCGGGAGTGCAGGAAGAGAGCTTTGAGCAGAGGAATGATGAGAAGCAGGACTGGTTTGTTGCAAGCTGACTGAGGCTGGGTGTAACAAGTCTGCCCAGGACTGTAGTATGTGTTGAACACAACTCCGCTTACACATAGCCTGTCTGACCAAAGACTGCACTGCGTCTATACACTCCACTAGCACATGTAATGGACAAGCTGCATAATGTTCATGGAAGCAATCTGGATCCCTCCTCCAACAACCATACCAGCGATTCCATTTGATCTGCACTGAATGGGGGAAAAAAAGTCATCCCTGCTTTCAGGGGTACTAGCTGAAGCCAACTCCACACAAGCCTGAATTAATGGTTGCACCTCAGAGAACTCTGTGCCCTGATCTACCAGGGAATGCGCAACCCCTATGCATTCTAGCAGCTGATCCCTGGTATACTCCTGCAGAGTCTCATAGGCATATTCTTTGTCATCAAAGACTAGCAGACACAAGTATATAACCTCCTCCGGATGCATCCTTCACAACAATAAGCCAAGATGGCTTCCCTGTGCAGCCACTTCTGGCCAGGAATGGCCTTGGTGTAATGTCAGGGATCCAGGTATGACTAGAGATGTGTGGACTGACACAGGGAAACAGTAGGCTTCAGAAATGATTAAATAATAATATTATGAGCTGCACAAAATAAACAAACACAGTGCAAAACAAAACAAACCTTAAACTAATAGGTACAGGTGCAGTCAGGGCTGGAAAGGTGGAGTGGTCAGGCAAGCCGGGTCAGGAACAATCAGGCAGAAAGGTACAACGGGAGCAGGCAGAAGAATGGTCAGGAATAGCCGGGGTCAGTGCAGGCGGAGTTCTGTCAGAGTCAAGCAGGAGCGTCGAGCAGGCAGGAGACAGGATACAGGGCACATGGGAAACAACACCAAGGCACTGACTGCAGGTCTGGCCATTCCTTAAATACACCTCCTGCAATCAGCCTCAGGTGATGGCTGATTGCAGGAGTGAGCTTCTGGCTGCTGAGAGCACCCGCTGGCCAGCCCTGGTACTGCAGCCCACAAGGCAGGTGAGTCCCACCACCATTGGCGAGTCCATTCCTGACACTTCCGGTGAGTGGAACGCATGCTGGTTCCAGAGTGATTTCCTGCTATTTGGAAAGGGATCAGTGTGCAGCATATCAGTGCCTATCAATGCAGCATATCAGTGTCGCCTATCCATGCCCATTAGTGCAGCCTCATCAGTACCCATCATTACAGCCCATCAGTGCACATCAGTGATAAAGAAAAATTACTTATTCTCCTAGATTGTAAGCTCTAACTAGCAGGGCCCTCTGTTTCCTCTTGTAACAAATTGTATTGTAACTGTAATGTCTACCCTCATTCTGTGAAGTGCTGCACAAACTGTTGGCGCTATATAAATCCTGTATAATAATAATAATTTGCCAAATTTTATAACAGAAACTAAGAAAAACTTTTTCTTATTTCAAACTGTTCAGTCTTTGTTTTGTTTGTCATACCAGTGTCTGGCATTTAAGGGTCTCAGCTGATCAGTTTTCAAATATATATATCCCACGGCTTTCAGACAGACTAAATAATATACACTGTTTTAGGGAATTTTACCCCAAAAATGTAGCAGAATACATTTTGGCCTAAATAAATGAAGAAAAATTATTTAAATGCAAAATTATATAACAAAAACTAAGGGAAACAATCTTCGGTATTTTTTCTTTTATATAGCAAAAATGAACAAACCCAGTGGTGATCAAATAGCATCAAAAGAAAGCTCTATCTGTCTTAAAAAAATAAATGATAAACATTTCATATGGGTACATTATTGCATGACCGCGCAATTGTCATTCAAAGTGCGTCAGTGCTGAAAGTTGGCCTGGGCAGGAAGGGGGATGAAAGTGCCGGGTTTTGGAGTGGCTAAAGAAAGATCCCTCATAAAATATTCTACTGAAGTACTCATGTATATGCGTGTTTTGCTCATATGTGAGTAAAATCTGCAGATCTACATGTGGAAAATCTGCAGCCACATCCTACTTTTTTTTTGCGTGTGACTAAACACAGCACCAGGGGCGGACTGACAACTCATGGGGCCCCTGGCTAATAGGGGATCATGGGGCCCCTGTGTCCTTGCCCAAACTCAAAAAAGCCTATGAAAAAGGTACCAGGGGCATCTCATGGGGCCCCCTACTGACCCCAGGCCCTCGGGCAGTGCCTGAGTTTCCAAATGGACAGTCCGCCCCTGCACAGCACACATTTTCGTATGCAGATCAATGAGCTGTGTGTATGGGCTCATTGATTACTATAGTGCTGCATTTTGATGCGTACGTAACCACTCTATAACAGTAACTACTGTATGTATGGAAACACGAGTCTTTTCGGCCTGTCTGGATGAACCCATGAAGTGATTTTGTGCACCTGCTGCAACAATACATATAACGTGTCATAGAATGGAATATAAACGACGAATGCCACGTTTATGTAAATCAAATATACACGGCTTAGTCAAATAAAATGTGTCTGAGTGTTTGGTTGGTTTCTAGTCTCAGGTTTCATGTCTCAGTCACACCTTTAGGTAACACTACTACCACCACCATATCACAGTTACATAGGTAACAGTAGAAACATCACGGGACCCGCCCTCAAACACTGCGCGTGCGCACAGAGTCCGGATTCTGAGGAGGCAAGTCTCTTCGGTGTCGGTGTTTATAGCACACCAAGGAACGTGGATGTGACCGGCGCTGGTGAGTTGGTGTGGAGGTATGAGTGAGTCAGCCATGGTGGTCCCGACAAACACCCCGGAGAGTTCTCGTGCATTAACAAGCAAGCCATTCCCTCTGAAACACGTGGGATGTATGCGAGCGTTACCATGGTGACCGCTCACGCCGCTCAGCTGTGTCTCTATACAGCTCAGGTCATGTTACTGCTGCTGTGCAAACCTCATCCTATATTGTGCAGTGTTTACCTGGGCTCTCATATGCTTCTCTGGCACTCTGGAGGGCTAATAAAATGACCTTTTATCCTGCAAGTAACAAATGGGAACACTTTGGCTGGTATGCGTGTGTGTAGTGTGGTAATGCATGTGCGTTGGATTACGGCAGAGCGTTGCAATCAAACTGTCTCATATGCACCAAAACATTCCAATTAGGGCACTTTCACACTGATCCGCAGCAGAAATGCATATGCGTTTTGCCGCGCTTGCAGTACATTTTTTTAAAGGGACATGTGACTCAAAAACTGCATCAAACACGCATCTTGGGTGCGTTTGAGGCGGTTTCTATTGATTTCAATGGGGAAGTGTGTTTTTGGTGTGTATGTGTGTGTTATTTTTATTAACTGAACAAACAGGCTCCAAAAATGCTGCAAGCAGAATTTTATACACCGCAAGGGAGTGTGAAAACATACATAAGACATATTTTTTTTTATTTCAGGTACTTGTATAGTGCCGTCAATTTACGCAGCGCTTTACATATATATTGTACATTCACATCAGTCCCTAACCCTCAAGCGTACAATCTAAGGTCCCTAAATTACATTCATTCATACGTACACATACTAGGGCCAATTAACCTACCAGCATGTATTTGGAGTGGGGGAGGAAACCCACGCAGGCATAGGGAGAACATGCAAACTCCAGCCAGGAAGTGCCAGGGTTGGGATACGAAAGCATTTTTCATAGGCTTTTTTTCCACTTTTTTTTTTTTTTTTAGCACAAAAGCGCTTCAAAAACTCCTCGATGTGAAAGGGCCCTTTTTGGATGTTACAATATTTTTGTTATTGTGCACTATGGTGCATTGAAGCATGTTGCTGCAACTCATGTACATTGGAGGTCTTTAAAAACAGGAACCACAATGCATCAATGTGTAACATGCGTCGCTGTGCGTTGCAGCCCTAGGGCTCATTCACATCAGCCCTATTGGGCAGCTTTGCCCGAATCCGCTCCAACATGTACACAAGGCAATATGGCCTCTTTCACACGAGCGGTCCGGTTGGGTCTGCCTGTCCGTTATTCGGGCAGACCTGATCAGACCCTCCATTCTCCTCTATGGGCAGTCAGATGGAAACAGACTTTGTCCGTTTACATTCAGCTACCTTCGATCCAATCCAGCAAAAAAAAAAAACAAAAATCAGAAGGGGGTCTATTCCCCTCCGTCTGAGGGGTTGGATTGGAAGGCAGTTGGGTTTAAACAGACAGCCAGTTCGTTTACATCCGACTGCCCATAGAACAGAGCAGGCTGTGTTCGCTCTGCGTAAACAGAGTGGACACAGATCTGTCATCCGCCTGCTCTGCTCAGCAGGGGATCAGCAGACAAATCCACTGCTGAGCAAAATGTATCTGGCCCATGTGAAAGGGGCCTGAGGCTTAGGGATCATGTACATGGGCACTCAGTCCTGTATTGCGTGAAGAGCCATTTGTGTATCTTTTTGTTCTAGTGCTGAGTTGCAGGCAGCCCATATAAGTGAATGGATATGCATCCTCTGTACAGACTTGATTACACAGCCAGTTTGACAGGTATGCAGGGACGAATGCACGGACTTGGGGACTATGCCTGGTGCATGCCCCTGTCAAACTTTGCTATGCGAGTGAGTCTGTACATTCTATGTATACCTTTTTATCTACATGGGCTGCCTGCACGCAGTGCTAGATAAACAACCGGATCCTCACACTGCACAGTGCTGTATGCCCATGTGAACGACCCCTATGTTCTATTGTTGCATTGTGAATAGAGCTTGTCAGGGAGAGCTGAGCTTCTCATGGTGGTTTTCCATTGGCTAAAACTAAAATGCCTGAAGCTTGAATACACCCATGAAGGCCTGTTCGACACAGGCTTGCTTCAGCTTGTGTAAGAACAGTGTGAACAGCAAGCTTTGACAAAGCATTTGCAGAGCTTTCAGCAAGCTTTGTTGAAGCTTTTAACCTCTTTCAATCGTGCTATAGCCAAATGACGGCTACAGCACGGTTGTCCTGTTCTGGAAGGGCATCGTAGGATGTCCTCCCAGAACGTGCCCTCCCGTGTACCCCAGCGGCGCGCACGCAGCGACCTCCATGATCACTGTGTCCTATGGACACAGCTGATCATGTGATGGAGTAGAAGGCCAATCACAGCGGCCTTTTACCACTTGATCAGCTGTGTCCAATGACACAGCAGATCATGGGAGTGAATACAGTTGCTGGTTATCGGCAGCACTTTCTTCACACTGTCACAGCAATTATCATAGAACAGATCGGTACTGATCTTCAGGGCAGTGAGGATCAGTGCCCTGATGATCAGTACCCCCAGCAGCGCCCCCCCCCCCCCCGCCCGAGCAGTGCTACCCACTAGTGCACATCAGTGCTGCCCAGCAGTTGCGCCCAGCAATGCTGCCAGTCAGTGCTGTCAAGTCAGTGCTGCCAGTCAGCGCTGCCCATCAGTGCTGCCTATCAGTGCCCACCATTGCTGCATATTAGTGCAGCATCATCAGTGCCCATCAGTGCTGCCTATCCATGCCACCTCATCAGTGCCTATCAGTGCAACCTCATCAACGCACGTCAGTGAAGGAGAAAAATTACCTGGTTGCCAAATGTTATAATAGAAACAAAGAAAACTTTTTTTGTTTATAAGGCAAAAAAAAGAACATCCAGTGGTGATTAAATACCACCAAAAGAAAGCTCTATTTGTGTGAAAAAAATTCTAAAAATTTGGGTACAATGTTGCATGACTGCGTGTGACGGAAGCGTAAGTGGGAAAGAACTCACACAGAGGATGATAAACACACAAAGTTTTATTGAAATAGGAGAGACACTCAATCAGGGCAACAAGGGTAGCGTCCAGGTACCCAAAAAAGGGGGGAGGAGAGGGAGGAGTCCAAACAGTGATTATCTGGCCCACGGTAGGGTGATTCAGGTAGCGATAATCCGAGCACTCAGGGGGGGCAGTCCATGTAGCTACAATAGTCCGGGGACACAGTTGGGGCAGTTCAGGCAAGTATTAATCCAGGTACGCAATAGGGGCCATTCAAGCAAGCAATAGTCCGGGTATTCAATGAGGCAGTCCAGGCAAGAGAAATATGGGCAGACAACGGGGCAGTCCAGGCAAGGGAAATATGGGTGTACAATCGGGCAATCCAAGCAGGGGTGATATGGGCACACGTTAAGGCAGTCCGGGCAAGGGGCACACAATAAGGACAGTTCTACACTCCACGACATGCGGCTTGTAGGGGCACTCACGGCAGGTTGTTTCCAGGGGCAACCAGCGGACCATGTGCAGGAACACTCGATTTCAGCTTTCCAGGGACAACCAGCGATCAGCAGACAGGGACCCTCACGGTACCCAGCTTTCCAGGGACAACCAGCGATCAGCAGACAGGGACCCTCACGGTACCCAGCTTTCCAGGGACAACCAGCGATCAGCAGACAGGGACCCTCACGGTACTCAGCTTTCCAGAGACAACCAGCGATCAGCAGACAGGGACCCTCACGGTACTCAGCTTTCCAGGGACAACCAGCGATCAGCAAACAGGGACCCTCACGGTACTCAGCTTTCCAGGGACAACCAGCGATCAGCAAACAGGGACCCTCACGGTACTCAGCTTTCCAGGGACAACTAGCAATCATCAGACAGGGACCCTCACGGTACTCAGCTTTCCAAGGATAACCAGCGATCAGCAGACAGGGACCCTCACGGTACTCAGCTTTCTATGGACAACCAGCGATCAGCAGACAGGGACCCTCACGGTACTCCGCTTTCCAGGGACAACCAGCGATCAGCAGACAGGGGACCCTCACGGTACTCAGCTTTCCAGGGACAACAGCAGGCTCACTGGGACTCAGCGGGGTCTTGACTTTGGGTCTGGCCTCAGCACAGACCTCACACAGGGCTTCTATCCAGAGAAAGGGACCAACAGGGAAGGCGGGTCCTGGCTGTGGGGTCTGGCCTCAGCTCAGACCCCACACAGCGCTTCCCTCAAGAGCAGGGGACCAACAGGCAAGCCGGGTCCTGCTCCGGTCTTTTTATCACCGGAGCCGGACGCTTCCTGGTTGCCCCGGAAACGGCCAGCCCGGTATCGGGTTTCCAGGACAACGAGGCCCGCCCCCTCACTCCGGCTGCGCACAGGGAGCGTGGCCTTTGTCTCCGGCGAGTGCAGAGCGTGGGAGGGGGCGCGCTGAGACACCCAGGTGGCCAGCACGTGGAAAATCGACGTGCAGGCAGAGCGGGGTGTCAGATTCCTTGGCGTCCGGCCGAGGAGAGGTGTGAACCGCACTGCAGGGGCAGATCCCTGGCGTCCGGCACACCACTTTGATGTGGGCTTGTGCGGGCGCAGGGACATGTAATGAGGAAGGGAGGGAGTGAGAGAGGGGACCGTGACACCGCACAATTGTCATTCAAATTGCGACAGCGCTGAAAGCTAAAAATTGGTCTGTGCACGAAGGGGGTAAAAGTGTCTGGTAGGCATGTGGTTAAAGTACCATTCAGCTCCAGTTTGTGAACGCTGAACATAAATCCTAATGTGAGTGCTGATTGCCACTTTAAGCAAGCTGCTAGCAGGCTTTCAGCAAGCAACAAGACATTCTGAAGCCTGCTAGCAGCTTGTTTAAAGTGGCAGTCAGCACTCCCATTAGGGTCTGTGGTCAATTTTTTTACAAACTGGAGTTCAGTGGTACTTTAAAAGTGTCAACAAAGCTTGGTGAAAGCTCTGCAAATGCTTTATCAAAACTTGCCAATCGCACTGCTCTTATACAAGCTGAAGCCCACATTGCCATAAATACAAAAAATGTTCATAAATGCATGCAAAACATTCAAAAATGCCTGTTCTGCTTGGTAAATGCAGATTTTAAATGTGTAAGTTGCAATATATAAAATGTCTGTTTTAGGGTTTAATACCACTTTATATACTTTCAGCTACCTATGTTGGTATATACAGGTTGCCTAGTGCTGGCTCCTAGTTCTGGGTGAGATTTATTCAGGCCTGTCTTTAACTTTCAGGTAATGCCAATTCTGTTAAGAAGACAATGAATTCATCACGCGATCGAAAAACAGACCCCTTTTACAAGCCACCTACTTCTGTACAAAAGACAAGTGCTGAAATAATAAATGAAGCCAGAAATTCTTTGAGGACACTAAGAACCCAAAGGCCTTTTACACCTAGAGAGGACCAGAGAAAACTCTTTGGACCACTGTCATCAAGGGCACCAGACAGCAGACCACCTTCTGCATTTAGGTAGGTGTTTTGAAAATGTATACAATACTCTCAAGACATAAGTAATCTTAAAGAAAATGTAAGTAGCATTATCAGGGCTTGACAAATTTGCTTTGAATGTAGGAGCCAGCTAAAAAAAAGTTAGGAACCAGTTTTGTTTTTTTGACTATGTCACGGATCCAACTCGCACGCACACGCCCACAGCGACTAGCTAACCGAGGCATGCACATCCGGCCGTGACTTGGGGTAAAAAGGGAATGAGGGGGACTTACGTTGAACATATGACCGGCCATGATATACTTTGACAGCCTGCACTACCTCTGGCCACCACTAAAGGGACACTCCAATCCAGCTGGCTGACCACACACACAGGCAGATACGAATCTTATATACAATCTGGTGCACACTAAGGGTTGGGGAGCAGAATAGCAATTGGCACACCCTTCTAGGATTCCTCCAGCTATCCTACAAGCTAGAACTCCAGTGTTAATCACTCTTCCACTGTCCACACACCCCCGCACCAGACACACAACAAACGGTAGCTTGCCACCACCCAACAGTTTATCCGCAGACTGGTCTGCTGGGCCACCACACACACACAGATATCCTACTTTACAATCCGCATGCAATCTGCCAACACGCAGTGCAATTGCATACAGATAGGCAATGAACTTGACCAAGCATATAAAGACACTGCAATACAATACAATCTCTCCGGAGATATGAGCCCGAGCTTAAGTACCCAGAAGTCACTTATTAATTTTATGATTTAATATCCCGAAAGTGGGCAGTGCATAAAATATGTACAAAGTATAAAGAGTTACAAATAATACGGAAAATACAAGAAGACACACAATTGGCTATTGACTATAAAATAAAAGGGAAAAAAAAAAACAGAAATAAAACTTTTGCCAAGAGTTATCCTGCGACTGGAGCAAGTCAGAGAAAGTCAGTGATTCACCAGTCAATAGAACTGGGTCTGTACAAATCACACTGTCCATATCTCAGGTCCTCAATTTATGGGAATATGGACGTAGGCTGGACATTAGCCCTTGGCCAATCAACTCTGGGGGGTTTTCCTGTACCAGCCCACAGGACATTCTGGGTACTGAAATGCCCAAAGTCGATTGGACCAGGAACGGTTTGAATCACCAAGTCAGGGATTGAATTTCCGACACCAGCGCATCAGACCGATCGCGACAGTACCAATCACTGTTCAGCTGTTGCGATCAGGCGTCATATAACCATTTTCTGCGTTTCTCTGGGATTCTACATATACATGGAGGAGGCTACAAATACAGTTTTACATGCAGATGTAGCCTACAGTGTGTCCAATCAGAAGGAAGTACCGTATTTTCCGGTGTATAAGACGACTTTTTACCCCTTGAAAATCTTCTCAAAAGTCGGGGGTCGTCTTATACGCCGGTATACGGCATACTGACACTTTTTAGCGGGGCGGCGCGGTGCCGCCGCCGCCCCCCCCCCTTCCAACGGAAGGGACACTAAGTACAGGGGTGGGCAGGGGCTGTTTCTTACCTGGCTCCGGTCCCACGACGATCCGGTCCAGGAAGCGTGGCTGCTCCTTCAGTTCGGCCACTGGATGTTCGCGCGGCTGCTCGGCTCCGCCTCCTCACCGGTGATTGGCCGCCAGAACTGTAGCTCAGGAAAGGCACACAGGCGGCCAATCACCGGCGAGGGGGCGGAGCCGAGCGGCCCAGCGAAAATCGAGTGCAGGAGCAGCAGGTAAGTGTTCAGTGTAGAGGTGCTGCTGCAACCACATATGCTGACTGCAGCAGCACCATACTAGAACAGGGTCAGCAAGTGTAATTGGTGTCAGTGGGAGGAATAGTGCCCCATCATTGGTGTCACTGATACCAATGATGGAGCACTATTCCTCCCACTGACACCAATGATGGGGCACTATTCCTCCCCCCCCCCCCCCCCCACTGACACCAATGATGGGGCACTATTCCACCCCCCACTGACACCAATGATGGGGCACTATTCCACCCCCCACTGACACCAATGATGGGGCACTATTCCACCCCCCACTGACACCAATGATGGGGCACTATTCCACCCCCCACTGACACCAATGATGGGGCACTATTCCACCCCCCACTGACACCAATGATGGGGCACTATTCCACCCCCCACTGACACCAATGATGGGGCACTATTCCACCCCCCACTGACACCAGTGATGGGACACCATTCCTTCCACTGACACCAATGTTGGGACACTATTCCTCCCACTGACACCAATGATGGGGCACTATTCCCCCCACTGATACTAATGATGGGGCACTATTCCTGCCACTGATACCAATGATGGGGCACTATTCCTGCCACTGATACCAATGATGGGGCACTATTCCTGCCACTGATACCAATGATGGGGCACCTATTCCCCCCACTGATACTAATGATGGGGCACTATTCCTGCCACTGATACCAATGATACTAATGATGGGGCACTATTCCTGCCACTGATACTAATGATGGGGCACTATTCCTGCCACTGATACCAATGATGGGGCACCTATTCCCCCCACTGATACTAATGATGGGGCACTATTCCTGCCACAAATGCCAATGATGGGGCACTATTCCTGCCACTAATACCAATGATGGGGCACTATTCCTCCCACTGACACCGATGATGGGGCACTATTCCTCCCACTGACACCAATGATGGGGCACTATTCCTCCCACTGACACCAATGATGGGGCACTATTCCTCCCACTGACACCGATGATGGGGCACTATTCCTCCCACTGGTGTGCATTGGAAGAGGGGTAGTCTTATATGGCGAGTATAGCCCAAACACTACATTTTAGCAGGAAAAGTAGGGGGTCGTCTTATACGCCCAGTCGTCTTATACGCCGGCAAATACAGTGTTTTCATCTCTCTGCAACTAATATTTTAGCTTTTATGAGAGATGAAATATATTCCTTTGATCTGCTGATACAGGTGAAACTCGAAAAATTAGAATATCGTGCAAAAGTTCATTTATTTCAGTAATGCAACTTAAAAGGTGAAACTAATGTATGAGATAGACTCATTACATGCAAAGCAAGATAGTTCAAGCCGTAATTTGTCATAAGTGTGATGATTATGGCTTACAGCTCATGAAAACCTCATGCTTATACTTTTCAGAGGTCCGATATTGTTCTATGTACAATCCTTGTTTTATTGATTGCATGTAACATTCTAATTTTCTGAGATTGTGGATTTGGGGTTTTCATGAGCTGTAAACCATAATTAGGGCATCCTAATGTGAAATATATGTTTTGTCACTTGCCATTACATTTAAAATTAAATATATATATTATATATAAATAATACATTTATGGTTTATGGTGTGGGGATTTATCTACATTTCCATGTGCTATTTTTTTCTATGAAAGATGGCATGACGTGCCTGTTAATTGCTGAGACTCCTAGGTGCTATCTCAGCTGAACCTCCCAGAGGAGTAAGCTGTTACTATCTAGAAAAGGTTTTGCTGTCAGGAAAAATCACAGTCTGTTTTACTATTCAGGATATAGATATTGGAGGACATATTACACTATCTGCGATTGGCTCACCTTCTGGTGAACTTGCATGAACGGAGCTCAGTAATATTTATATTTCAGAACTGTTAACTGTGTAAGAGCATGATTCCTTTTTCCTTTATTCGGATAAACATATTGGTGTCAAACTAATTTTGTAAGTTCACTGGAAAATGTGAAACTATGAAACGAAAACAGTTACATTTCTTAAAAGAGAAGAATGTTTTTTTTTTTTTTTCATATAATCATACCTAGGTGGATGCAGCATCGATCCGATGTTGCATTGCTTCCCTGCCGGCTCTAAGGGTGAGAACTGCTGTCTGCTCTGCCCCCACCCTCCGCGTTCACTGCTGTGCTGGGCTGTGGGGGGGGGTGGGAGCAGTTGGTTCAGTCTCTCAGCGACTTGGAGTGCTGGGCTGTGAAGGGGGTGGGAGCAGCTAGTTTAGTCTCCCAGTGGCTTGGAGTGCTGGGCTGTGGAGGGGGTGGAAGCAGCTGGTTCAGTCTCCCAGTGGCTTGGAGCGCTGGGCTGTGGAGAAGGTGGAAGCAGGTGGTTCAGTCTCCCAGCGGCTTGGAGCACTGGGCTGTGGAGGGGGTGGAAGCAGCTGGTTCAGTCTCCCAGTGGCTTGGAGCGCTGGGCTGTGGAGAAGGTGGAAGCAGGTGGTTCAGTCTCCCAGCGGCTTGGAGCACTGGGCTGTGGAGGGGGTGGAAGCAGCTGGTTCAGTCTCCCAGCTGCTTGGAGCGCTGGGCTGTGGAGGGGGTGGAAGCAGCTGGTTCAGTCTCCTAGCGGCTTGGAGCGCTGGGCTGTGGAGGGGGTGGGAGCAGCTGGTTCAGTCTTCCAGCGGCTTGGAGCGCTGGGCTGTGGAGGGGGTGGGTGCAGCTTGTTCAGTCTCCCAGTGGCTTGGAGAGCTGGGCTGTGGATGGGGTGGGAGCAGCTGGTTCAGTCACCTAGTGGCTTGGAGCGCTGGGCTGTGGAGGGGATGGAAGCTGCTGGTTCAGTCTCCTAGCAGCTTGGAGCGCTGGGCTGTGGAGGGGGTGGAAGCAGCTGGTTCAGTCTCCTAGCAGCTTGGAGCGCTGGGCTGTGGAGGGGGTGGGAGCAGCTGGTTCAGTATCCCAGCTGCTTGGAGCGCTGGGCTGTGGAGGGGGTGGAAGCAGCTGGTTCAGTCTCCTAGCGGCTTGGAGCGATGGGCTGTGGAGGGGGTGGAAGCAGCTGGTTCAGTCTCCTAGCGGCTTGGAGCGCTGGGCTGTGGAGGGGGTGGAAGCAGCTGGTTCAGTCTCCTAGCGGCTTGGAGCGCTGGGCTGTGGAGGGGGTGGGAGCAGCTGGTTCAGTCTCCCAGCTGCTTGGAGCGCTGGGCTGTGGAGGGGGTGGGAGCAGCTGGTTCAGTCTCCTAGTGGCTTGGAGCGCTGGGCTGTGGAGGGGGTGGAAGCAGCTGGTTCAGTCTCCTAGCGGCTTGGAGCGCTGGGCTGTGGAGGGGGTGGGAGCAGCTGGTTCAGTCTCCCAGCGTCTTGGAGCGCTGGGCTGTGGAGGGGGTGGGAGCAGCTGGTTCAGTCTCCTAGTGGCTTGGAGCGCTGGGCTGTGGAGGGAGTAGGAGCAGCTGGTTCAGTCTCCCAGTGGCTCAAAGAGCTGGGCTGTGGAGGGGGTGGAAGCAGCTGGTTCATTCTCCCAGTGACTCGGAGCGCTGGGCTGTGGAGGGGGGGGTGGGTGCAGCTGGCTCAGTCTCCCAGCGGTTAGCTGAGATGCTGAGCCGGGTGCTGGTCTAGGCACCTGGGTGCATCCCAACCACATGGTCGCAATCTTTCCCCAGCCTAGACCAGCTGAGTGATGTCATCCAACAGCGGGCTGTACTTCCCCTTTAAGAAATTTGACTACCTTTTTGCTCTTCACCCATTTTGTTCAACATCTTTTTCAAATTTGCTATACAAATATACACTGATCAGACATAACATTATGATCATCTAACTAATACTGAGTAGAGCCAACAGCAGCAGAACCTAAGTCCTGTAAGTTTCGAAGTGGAGCCTCCAGGGATCTGACTTTTTTCCAACACATCCCATAGATGCTCAATTGGATTGAGATCAGGAGAATTTGGAGGCCAAGTCAACACCTCAAACGTGTGTTCCTTTAAACCTTCCATCAACCATTTTTGCAATGTGGCAGGCAGGGCACATTATCCTGCTGCAAGAGGCTGCTGCCATCAGGGAATACTGTTTTCATGAAGGGGGTTACTTGGTCAGCAGCAATGTTTAGTTAGGTGGTACTTGTCAAAATAACATCCACATGAATGGCAGGACCCAAGGTTTCTAAGCAGAACATTGCCCAAAGCATCACACTGCCTCTGCTGCCTTGTCTTCACATACTGCATCCTGGTGCAATCTCTTCCCCAGGTAAGCGACTCACATTCACCTGGTCATCCACATGATGTAAAAGAACTCTTGATTTATCAGACCAGACCACCTTCTTCCATTGCTCCATGGTCCAGTTCAGATGCTCACATGCCCATTGTAGGCACTTTTTGCTGTAGACACGTGTCAGCATGGGCACCATGACCAGTCTGTGGCTACGCAGCCCCATAAACAAAACTGCTAAGTCCATTTTTTTCTGCTTTCAACACATCAACTTCTTGGAGAACACATTCACTTGCTGCCTAATATATCTCGCCCACTTTTAGGTGTCTTTTTGTAACAAGATAATCAATGTTTAACACTTTACCTGTCAGTGGTCATAATGTTATAGATGATCGGTGTATATTTGCATTTGGCAGCATCTCCGTTTGTTTTTTACACTTCCATGGACATTCGGCTGCTGTACCTTTTTTAGCTATGCCAGTTTTGTGACAGCTAGTGGCATCTATTACATTTGCAAAGGAGCATTAATACAAGCATATTGAACATAGAACTCAACGTTAGAATTATATTATGTTGGTATATACTGTATCATTCATATTAGGATAATTTATCCTGATGGTAAAGAAGTTGTAAGGCTATTTTTATTCTGACTTTTCAACCTAATTTACACTATCAGCATGTACCTGTATTATAGTGACATTAACCTCTATGTACAGCATGCTTAAGGCCCCTTTCAGACGGGGCAGATCCATCACTGAGCGGTTTGCTTAGTGGGGAATCTCTTCGCTGATCCCCGCTGAGCAAGCAGATGACAGGTCTGTGTCTGCTGTGCTGCTGCAGAGTGGACACAGCCTGCTTTTTTCTATGGGGTGGTTGGATGGAAACAGACCACATGTCTGTTTCCACTCGACTGTAATCCGATCTGCCGGATGGATGGGGAATGGATCCCCATCCTTCTGTTTTTGGCGTATAGGATCGGATGCCGGCGGGTGTCAGTGGACACTTGTCCGCTGACACCCACCAGTCTGTGGATGGTCCGATTGGGTCTGCCTGAAAAACTGACAGGCAGACCCGATCGGACCATCAGTGTGAAAGGGGCCTAACTCAAAAAAGACTCTTATTGCTCTCAGCCTCCTCCATGTTCTCCAGATTCCTTGTTTTCCAGTTGTGATCTGACTTCTTATTAGAGGTAGGTTGTGTTCATTTTCCATGACCACACTGTATGTAGGAACCCTCTTGCTTGCTGCTATGGGATGTGTATTGTGCATAGAGTAGTGCACATGATCACAACTAAAGTGTACTGCTTGTTCCAAACAAACAGAAGGTAGGGGGGGAAAAGGAGATGTCTGGAATCTCATGGAGACATTACAAGGTGTACAAACGCAGTAAGATCCATTTTCATGAAAAACAGATTACAGGACCATTAAGGGCTAAATCCACCTCTGACTACATGGTACTTTAACATAAGGCTATTGGCACACTAATGCAGATATATATCCCAGTAAGGATGCCTGGGCTGCAATAATCCGAGGGGAGAAAATAATTTGGATTTGGATTACCAAAAGAAGAAACACCCATGTGGTGCTCACAAAAAGCACCAATACATATTTGCGATCAGGTAGAAAAGGCAAATTCCACACCATGGTATACAGACTCTTGGGAGCCACTGTCTGCAAAGAAAAGATCCAGTATGATTCTCCTTGTATT